TCGGATGAAAACCACGCAGGGATGGTGGGTTTGGGCAGCCCCCAGCCCCCAGGTTTGGGGCACAGTGGTACTGGGGTGTTCCACCACAGGTCTGAAGCCGCCCCAGGGTTTGATTTAAGCATTAACATCATTATTTCCTGCAAAGATGGAGCCAGCCAGTCCTACCAGCACCACCTTTGCTTACACAAGTGCTTCGCCGTTGGAGTGCCTCAAATTAGGAGGGAATCGTGGTTTTCAGAAGCATCAAATACCCACTTCTTAAACACAATTTGTTGCTTCTTCAAAAGAGAAGCTTTGGCAGGCTCCCGCAAGTGCGGAAGGGTCTTAAGACACTGAACTACATAAAAAAAAAGAAAAGCAGACAAAAAGAAATCAAGTCTTTCTTCACTGCTCTGCCAACGACTCGTGCTCAAGCCTTCTGAGCTCCCCTCTCCGCAAGGGATTAAGAATTTGGCAGGTAACGTTCACCTCTAAAACCAGCATTATTGACACCAGGATACTGTGTGTTGCCTCGACTGGCAATTTCTTTTCTCACTTAAAATTCAAACTGACAGAAGTTCTATTCTACCAAAAGCTGAAAATCAAGCATTTGAGTGACTTAAGACTAAAGACAAAGATTTTGAAAACCTGCAACCAAGTCCTGGACCAGGGCAAAAGAATTAAAAAAAACCCAAAACCCGAAGTCCAGAAGCAACGTGGAAAATCCTCATCGGGGTATTATTACCCCGCGGGAAAGCTGTCGTTTCTTAATTTTGCTGTGATCAATCGTGCTTGAAACAACTCTAAAATGAAGCACTCCCAAACGTGAAATACAAGCAGAGACTTCCCGGTATCGCAGTTTTCTCCCTCGTGTCCTCCAACACAAACATTTTTCCAGAGCCAAGGGAAGAGCTGCTTCACGGGGACGGCAGCGCTGTGAGCACCCACCCATCTCCTCGGCCAGCCTTGGGACCAACGGCCCCACTTTTTTGTGTTTTTGCTGGCAGAATGGTTATGAAAAATAAAAATTTCTCCCTAGTAGCAGCTTTAAATTCAGGCACGATTCTGATCTATTTGTTTTATCAAGTTAATTCCAACTGACGCTGGTGTAGACAAACACCAGAATGCCTTGCAATGAGGGGAATTAAAAAAATAAACCAGGGGAAACAGCAATAAACCCAGGGGAAACAGCAATAACTCTGCAAGGGCAGAAAAGCTGTTAACTGGTTTTGCTTTCGCTCCGAGGAAGCGATGGGCGAGTGCTTCACAGCCAGACCCGTTCGATTATTTCCATGTCGTTGCTTGAAACCGTTTGAGAATGGGGAGTCCCATCACAGCAAAAGATACTTTACAAGGGAATAGTTGCATTTGCTAACAGAGTTCTGTTTAAAAACCTCTAATAAAAATAGAATATATACTGTGTTCTTTATAAATAGATTACACATTTAGCTTAGATAAGTTTCATTACACTCCCTCCCTCACAACACTTTATTTTTAAAGAATTTCGCTTTTTTGTCATTGTGTGAACTAATATAATTCCTAAGTCTTTGAAAAAAAAAAAGTTTGTACCACATTATTCTTTGGACATTTTTGAACAACATGCATCCACAAAAGCAACTGCTGTTTGTTGACTGAAAACGTTGTTTTGTACAAACTCATTTTAGGAATCTGATCTATTATTACACTGCTAACAAGCAAAAAAATTTGCTTCCTCGAAATCCCCTTTTAAAAAATGAGAAACAATGAGGAGGATTTCTTTACTGATCACAAGTCTAAAAAAGTGTCAATATGACACCTCATTAAGAATAGAAAACCAAAATAAAGTATTTACAGCTTTACAAAGGAAAAAGAAAGAGGTCATTGAAATAATTTCCAGCATTTTCACAATTATTTTTTTTTTCTGGCAAGCTTCTGATCTGGTTTCTACAGTTATACACAAACGGAACAGGACCACTGTCAGCTAAATCAGCAGCATCGCTCAAAACTAAACCAAAGGGGAAAAACTATCAAGGACCAACCCTCGGAACTCCCGAAAGGTCGATCCGCCGAGTCCTAACACAGCCTAAATGAAAATAAAACCCCACTCCCACGTATGAAAACACCTTCTTTAAAAATGGATTACGTACGGTTATAAGGAACAGACACCGACAACCATGGCAATTTACCGTCACACACGTCACCATCGTACACGTAATTTCTACGCCCTCTACTAGAGACCCACATCCCTTACGCTTTACCCACAAATGCAACCCTGTCGCAGAGGCTCCTCGTAATTATGGCTCGGAGATAAAACTGTAGGAAAGCAGCTCGTTTGCACGGCTGAATTTCAGCTTCCTCACCTGGCCCTCGCTGGATACTCTCGCCTACCTTTGTCCCAGCTACAAGTGCCAAACGATGCTCGGCCACTGAGTTTTAAAGAAAAATAACAGAGCAGCAGCGAGGCTGGACGGCTGTTAGAACCGCTTGGTTTCTCCAGTACCAAAGGGCATTTCAGAAGGAGATTGTTTAACGCCGCCTCCCCCAAAGTCACTAAAGCATTACAGACGTTCAGCTTTGGCAGATGGTTTCTCAGCCTCGTGAGAAACAACGCATTAGCAGCTGACGTTCAGACGGGCTCGAAGACCTTAAAGAGTATTTATCGAAAACATGCAGGCTCAGGCCCCTCAAAAAATATCACACCTCTTGCCCCCCACTCCCCGCCTCAACTTGCAGCCCTGGCAAACATTTGCCAAGTTGGCCACCTAAGAAATAACAGGAATGAGCACTTTGGAATCAGGTTTCTTTACCAGAGAAAAGTTATCTACATTTACATGCTGCAACGGGCTTTGAAAAAGCCCCTGACCCACACCAGAGAATCCAAGGAGCTACTCTACGAATAACGGCACCGAGTACTTCCATCAGGGAGGAAACCACAAGAATATCCTTGGATCTATTTCTCTTGGACAGAAGTCATCAACTGTGGATCGTGAGCTCTGCCCCGTGGACCCAAACGGATCATCCCGGGACTCTTCCCTACCCTGAAAACCCACAGGATGCCCGTTCAAATGACGTGGTCTAAAAGCAGGAGGTGGATCTGAAGAGGGGCCAAATGCCAGGCACCAGGATCTGGGACCTCCACGACCCGGGGCCTCCATGACCTCGGGCCTGCATGACCTCGGGCCTGCACGACCTGGAGCTTCCATGACCTGGAGCTTCCATGACCTGGAGCTTCCACGTCTTGGGGCCTCCACGACCTCGGCCCTCCACGACCTGGGGCCTCCACGACCCGGGACTGAGAGGATGTTACTGCACCCACGGTGGGAGCAGAAACCCTCCGCGGTGCCTCTGCCCAAGAGCTCTCCATTCCCCGAGACACCTGTGCTCGTTTTGGAAGAGCGACACTGTTCTACAGCAGCGAGATGCTTATGATGCCACCCCGCCGGTTTCAGATCAATACTTCAGAGAGGTTAAAACGAAAGGAAGCTAAAAAGATTGGCCAGCTTCCCCTTCCGTAACACTGAGGGGGTGCTTAAATCTGCCTGCCCAGTCCTAGCACTGCTCCTACATCACAGTTTCTAAGCTTCCTGGCAGGAAAAATATAATTATATTTGGTATTTACTCCAAGTCTTGCAACTGCTAGTTAACTACACAGTTACCTTTAGGCAGTATTAACTACACTTTCAATCTCAGTCTAAAAAAACAACCGAACAAAGAATTATTGGCTGAGGTTTATACCCTGTTTTTACCTGGCTGAGGTGCTACAATTCCCATTAAGAACCACGACCAGCTTGATGATGCTGGAGCTTCCTCGAATACCACCCAAGCCACCTGACTTTTGCTGCCGCTTTCTCCTGTGTAAAAAAAAAATACAGGATCTCCTCACTTTCTCACAGAGAAAGCACATGGCTGCTCTTTGCTAATTCTAGGGCAGCAGTTAAGTTTGGGCTTCTTTTTACTACGCCCTGGAAAGGATTACAGTATTTTCCGATGTTCAGTTTTTCTGAAGAACAGTGGTCTGGAACTCTCCCAGCGTCAAGCCTACATCTATACCGCCGCGTGTCAACTCTAAACGTCTTGAAAGCAGCATAAAACAGGAGTTATCTCCCTGTCAGCAAAGTAAAATCTGCAAACGCTACGGTTTAAAAAAAAAATAAATCCTGAAAAAAGACAAGACGAAACAACTGAAGGGCTGATCCCCCTCTTAATCCAATCAGTGGAAACAAAGGCATTGTAATACGACATTCCTCCTCGAAAGAAGCTCTACAGATAACTAACATGTGCAAATGTGTTTTTAGCTTTCCTTTCCCCCCAAGAGATAACTGTAACCCAGCAGGGACCAAACATTCCGTATAAATAAGGCGAGCTTTTTTTTTTTTTTTCCTTTTCTTCTTTTTTCTCTTTTTTTTTTTGCATAGTAGTTTATCAGTGATAGTCCCACCCCACTGAACCCTCCTTTGGCCACCTGCTTTGCCACCGAGCTGAGACCTGCTGCTCGAGATTCTGGAGTCTAGCAGAAAGCTTGTACAAATCTCAAAGGCTCCTTCACCCAGAAAGATGGAATGAAGAAATTCCTTTTAACATTGTATAACTGGCTTAATCCTAAAAGCTCTCTCTAAACCCGCTATTATTTTAAAATGTTTACAGTTCAATTTGGAGGCATTCCGTTTTGTGCCCGACATTGGTAATTGTATCGGAATTGTCTTGGGTTCGCTTCCCTTTTTGCCAGCATTCCTTTTGCCAATCAGTGCAGCAGTTCAATAAAACCATAAGCATATTGAAATACCCAGAGCCTTTGCAGCACCATTCTCTGCTGCTACCAGATATGGTTTTTTTTTTAAATAATATTATTTTTTTTATAAAAACACCTGCTATTAATATTCCACTGGAGCTCAAAGTGGCTCAGCTTGGGGCAAAGGCACAATTAAAACACCGTGTTTTCTTACAGGACTCTGCATTTATGATTTGTAGAACAATAGAAATTTAAAGCACCAATCCTTGGGTGGGGTGGGGATGCGTGTAGGAATGAGTCCTTAGAAACCCTGTGCAAGGACTTTCAAGTCTTTTGTTTCCCCAGTCAGTGTATTGTTTTTATCTTTTCTTGTGTCTTCCCTTTCACTGGAATGCTCCAACTGTGTATCAGCTGACCATGGGCTCCACATCCGTCTCTCTGTCCAACTCATCCTGAATTTCATCTGTGTTTCCTGAGTCACTGCTGGCTACAGAGCTGGGAGATGGAGAATTTCTGCAGAACAATTCAGAGAAAGGTTTAGACAAAAAAAAAAAACAACAAACCAAAGCCAAACTATTAATGGCATAAGGTAAAAAAAAAAAAAGAACAAAAGGAACCTTTAAAGAAAAAGGTTACTTTGCCTTATCAGAACTGATAGGGAAATGGAAACTAAGTCCAGCGAGCATCCTGCAGATCAACCACAATATGTTCAGTCTTGAAAACTCAAAGCTGATCATCTTTTAGGCCAGAACGTGCACTGGGGGTGGGCAAGAGGTAAGAAAAATCCCTCATGGTAGAGGGCTTGTAACAGATTAGAAGACTAAAACCCGAGTTCTTCATGTAAATCCACAGTCAAGATCTAATCTGGGTTTTTGTTTAAGAGTTCTAATCTGCAATGTTAAGACTAAACATCCATTCAAGTTAGAGATCCCTGGTCTCACCAATAGATGTTGCATCCTTAAAAGTGTTCCTGTACGTAAGAACTTACGCACTGTGACAGGGTTTCTTTTAAGACTGATATTTGACTCCAAACACAACGAGATTATCTAAGGACAAAGCCTGAGGACAAAACGATACTATTGCCTTTAAAACAACTTGGCAGGAAATGAGCAAAATAAAATCTTGAAGCACCCCAGGCGGAATGGTAATAATATCTTATTACCTGTCAGCTGAGCCTTTGATAAGCCTGCGACAGGTTTCCATTTGCACATCCAGGCCCCTTTTCATACTACACATTTCCATATATTCATGAAGGTGGCGATTCATGTCACTCTTGGCCGTGGCCAATTCCAGCTGCAAGAAATAAAGAGAAAAATAATCAGCCTAAGGCGAGTTGCTAGCAGCTTCTCCCAGCTTCCCTCAATTTTCCATACTGGTGGGGCTGCTAAAGCAGCTCAGAGCCAAGCCAAAACACCCACAATATACATTTAACCTCACTGTTGCATAATGTCATATTCATCAGCTTATGAAGTATTTTAATCAGAGCTCAACACTGTTTTTAAAACAGCCCGAGGTGTTTGCTTTTTTTTTTCCTGCTGCTTGGCATCTTGTTTGTCAACACGCAGTAATTAATGAAAGCATATTCTAGGCAGGGCAAAGACTTGGGAAGCTACAGCTGCTGTGTCTGGCAGCCTCCAAGGTCTTGTAAAGCACTTCCCGGTGCGACAGTGGATACGCGAGACAAATAGGGGGGGAAAAGAATAATAGAGTGCATTTTTATTCTCTTTGTTCTGCAGGTTCTCTCTCCACCAGCTACAGATTTGTGCTTACTCGACAAGAGCGCTGCAGAGAGAATGGTACTTAGAAAAAATCCCAGGGGTATGTCAAAGGAAAACATCTTTGGATTCTAAGATACATGGACATTCACCTTTCCTCTGTGGGTACCAGAACCGGTGTGTTTGCCCACTAGAAAAAATTCCTACTGTCATGAACTACTTCCTTACCTCAATCTGCCCTATTGTTTCTTGGTATTCCTTGTCTCTCGTTTTAAAGAAAGACTCTGTTTCGTGGATCAAGTTTCCCAGGTTTTCTTCCTGCGGGGGCGGGAGGGAAAGGAGAACACAAAGAATTAGCCAGAAACACAAGGAATTCAGTAGCACTCTGAAGATTTTCTTATTTAACCTCACTCAGAAATGCAGGTTGATACGCTCTTTCATGCGAACATTTTTTTTTAAATACATTTTTACACAGGCAAGGAATATTCTGCTTCTTAAAACCAGGCACACCAGGAAACACATTTTTGTACCATGACCACGGCTTTGTACACACCAAGATCAAGTCTCTGATCAAAAGTCCAGCAATTAAACACATACACCTGACACATGCCAAAGAAACAAAACCCTGGATTTTCCTGAAACCTTCCACACTTCAGACAGATTGCAACTGCTCTCCAGCCATGAAACTGATTTTTCCCTTGCACTGACCACACCACAGCTTCGCACTGGAATTCTCATTTTCCAATTACTTATTACTACTCTCGAGTCCTTTCAGTCTCCATATGCTCCTGTTGTTGGTTCCAAAAATTGCTAGACAAAGCAAGCTCGCTCCAGCACACCGCTGATAAAAACACACATTCTGTCCTGAAAGAAACAACCTGCCAGCCAGCAGCTCCCCAGCATCCTCCCTTTAGGACTGGCAGTACAGAGCACTGGCACAAGGAGACTAAACCAACGTCATTGTTCTCTTTTTCACGTTATTACCTACCTCCCTTTTCCAGACACAAATTTTAACGTAACTGCGTCGATGAGCATTAATTGTGTTTCCCTCCTTTGGCCACATCGGCGGCGGTTTTATCGGGATCGGTACCAACGTCAGGCTACCCAGCCTCGAGTTACAAGAATCATTCCGCTTATCCTTTTATATGCAGAAGCGCTTTAAGGAGGAAGGTCAGGAAAGAAGGTGGCGAGGGCACCGCGTAACAACTTGAAAGGAATAAAGCCAGCGGAAGGAAGATTCAGGCATGTAAAGCGCTGTGTTAAAGACCAGGCACAGACGGAGCGGTCTTTATTCTGAATCTCCATCTACAAGCCAAATCTACCCTTTTCCTTGTATAATTTTCATTTAGAAGGATTTAAGCTTCTTAAAACCTTTAGAGTTTTCGCACGGAAGGTCTGAGTTCGGCAATATTCCTCTGATAGCCGCGCTTAGACTTGCACACATGGGTATATGCAAATAAATCTGCCGCTAATTCCAGCACATGGCTACCCGTTATCACTCTGCCACTCTCCGCACGTAGCTAAGCACGCCGCTTTCTGCAGCCCTAGCACTTCTGAGTAATCTCCGCAGTTTCAGACTCCGCCAGAATGATCCACAAACGGGAAGATGTAAATTAACACGCCCCTGGCAGCCAACACGAGACAATGTGCAGGAGACTGCTGCCTCAGCATCTTCACGCGACAGAGAGCAGCGCTGCGAGGAGGCAGGATTCTTCCTCCCCTACCGCTCTCACGCCGCTCGGTAACCAAAGAACAGCGTCACATTTAAAACAACCCCACGCAAAGCCAGACTTTGCCGTTTCAGCTTCTCTTTAGACCTGTTGAAAAAGGCTCAGGACTAGGCAGCACGCAGGATCTCAAGGATTAAAAGCGAGCTGTTTATTATCTACCAGCATCAGGAGATTCCTCTCGACTGGGAAGATGGAAGCACAAGATTCATGGGCTTGGAGGATCCCCGGGGCTTTACGCGCTCCCGCAACCACAGTTTCTTTTCTTTGCAATGGGGTACGCGGACTTTAACACCTTCCACAGACCACGCCGAGGTTCATTTTTCTCCCCATCAGGATAACTGTGCAGTACCCAGCCCCCGCACTACACGTACTATTTTGACAATTAAAGTGTGAATGATAATCTTAGACAGAAAGCGAGATGCTGCGTGGAAGATCTAGGGCTTTAGATAAATGACTGCTTAGGGTGACAGATTGTGTGATGCTCCTGCACCAGCAGATCTTTTGACACCCGCTCGCTACTTTTAAATAACTCAGTTTGAAGGAGCAGGAGAAATGAAATTTGGCAAATAAACTGATTGCACAGACTGAAAAGCGACCATAGAGAAAAAGCACTAAGAGGATTTTAAAAATCAAAGCAAGTTTGCGTGGCAAACTAGATCACCAGTCAAATATCCAAAGGCTCAAGTGGCTGAGAGAGCGGCTGAGGGATACAGTTTCTGCGGAAAATAGTTTGAGAAAATAACAGAAATAAACTCACCTCTCCTTGGAGGTCAATTGAAGGATTGCAGTTTGTGAAGTCTTCCCAAAGAAGCAACGTTTCCTCATTCTCCTCCCATGTTAAACTATCACAGTCGTCATCAAAATCAAATGTCTCACGACTGTTAAGACAATAGAACAACATCAGTGAAAACTACTCCAGCCCCACTCCCTCAGTTCTTTAATTAATCTTCTGGAAAAAAGGGGCTATGAGGACGGAATGAAGGAGACAACTCTTATAGTTTTTACAAACGGGCTTTGCCACTGTCCAAGTCCACTCCCGGGCTCTTTGCCACCCCAAAACAGAAGAAAAGATCCTTGTTCGCATTCCCGGCTCGAGTGCACAGCCCTAGCTCTGTCCTCCAGATGGTGCTGCGCATTAGTTTCCCCCCTGTCCGCAAAACCACAAAAATGTTTTAAACTATCCTTTTCATACATGGGAAAATACAGTTCGAGGAATTTTACAAGAAACAGCCACCAGAAGACTCCCTGCTGATTTTCCTGTTCAAGTCCAGCCAACGTTTGCCGCCCAGCACTGAAAAGCATTATTTTCAAAAGCACCAACCATGACAAAACTGAACCCCAAAATGATGTGCAGGTGGGTGCAAACACTGAACGGCCGACTTGAACAACAAAGACGCTCCTAGAGCCACTTAAGACTGCGAGCAAACAGTGGCAAGAGTGGCCTTTAACACTGTTATTTGGCCAAGCTCCTTTAGCACAGCCAGTTGTGCAATAAAGGAAAGTTCAGAAGGCGCTCCAGTCCCTTTTGGTTTGAACAGCAGCAGAGCAGAACACTGGTAGCTGCTTCTTGCCCTCGTTAAGGAGGTCTGGCAAAAATCTGAAATCGCTCCCAGAAGCAGCCTGCTAATTTCAGCCTGATGCATTTTTACTACTTTAGCTCACTTCCTTTTAAGCAGATAACATCGCAGCCTGGAAGCCGGAGTCCCACATTGTCTTTAGGAGGCTGAAGAGTTTGGCAAAAGAGACAGGCTATTTGTCTATACTCAGCATGGCTTTAAAAAATAATTTAAAAAAAAAAAACCAACACGATTCAACTTCGCATCAGTTTTTTTTTACCTCCTTGCCAGAGAGCGCAAAGGCTCCTAGTCCTGACTGCCGCTCAGCCAAACACGCTTCGACTTTTTAATACTAGACACTTAAAGATCAAGTTCATTCCAGGTAAAATGAGAGCTGCTTTCAGATTCTGATAAGAGGCAAACTGTTCAGCTCTTTGCAAGCTACTATTTTCTACCTCACAAAGCCCCCAAACCCAGGCATCCTTAATCTTCAATAAGCCATCAACACTGTGTTACATCAACCCAATCTGCATGCAGGAAGATTCCTACAGCACTATGTACCAGATAAGACAGGACCAGGAGATAAGAATTTCATTAGTGGCACCAATAAAAACTGGGTACCACAGGGCAGGTTTAAGAACAAAACTAAAAACTAAATGCATTGTCAGCCTAGCAGCTAAATTCTAGCCTCCTGCTTTTCTAAAAAAATACACTATCTGCTGTCACAGGGAATTCCAGCAGTGGATAAGTAAACAAAATCTGTATTCATGACACTATTAATAAAGGCATAAAGACATCTTAAAGAGCTCTAACAAGAGGAGTTACCCACAACTTCAGTAAAAACCATGCCCTCCTATACGCAAAATTTGGGAGGGAAGAAAGAGACACACGCCCTGAAAACAGAACTTTTGGCAACAGCTGACAACAGAAGAGGAGCTAGAGCTCCTTGGAGGATTTCTTGCAAGCTCCTACATATTAAATATTGTCCTACGCTGTGCGGGAAAGCACTGGGAATTCTTCCCTCTGCGGTCACTGCTTAAGTTGCCATAAGAAACAGATGTTTAAATGCCAGGAAAGTCAGACCTATGGCGCTTGCTGGGGCTTTTTTCTGGGAAAAGAAAAGAGCAGAGACCCCCAAAAGTGTCACCAAGTGCAGCAAGGCTTACAATACTGAGTTTCTTGGAATCTATAAACTATCATCCCTTGCTACAGCTGAGCTTCTGAGCAGATCCACCACCACCATTTGCCTAGAGCCTGGCTGAAAAATCATGCAAAATACTACAGAAGCTTGTATCCCTTTTGAACTGAGCTTCTGGTGACATTGTCAAATTCTATCTAGACCAAGGAGCAAGAGGTTCTTTCCAAAACTCTAGAAATCTAATACCCAGCAAAACATACAGAATTAACCCAAGGTTTCACTTCTTTTTTTTACTCTTACAACAGCATATAAACATCTAATTTTATTCCTGTGTTTTTTATAGGGGAACAACAATCAACTTCTATTAGTTTTATTTGAACTTCCCGAAAACCTTTGAGTATGCACCATCCTGGCAGCTCAGGTTCCATTCATAGCGAAGGAGGAAAAAAAAATAAAAAATTCTTCTGAAAGCACATAGAAGTAACTCAATATTTGAGCTCCAGGATTAAATCCGCATTTCAGAGTAAGTTTTGCCCACGATACTCACAGCTGATTAAACATACGCTTCATTTCATCCGTGATGTTGAGCGAGCAGCTGACCTCGTCGTCGGAGAACCTGCCGTTGTCTCCATCCTGCTCCGAGAGGTCATCGTCAGACGTGAGCTTGCGGTCTTTCTTCTTGGAAGCCACCTTAATTGGAGAGAAGAGCAGTAACTACGAGGTTCGACTGAGGTGCTGCGCCGTGAGATAAAGAAGGAGAGCCGTTAGGTTTGAGCAAAAACGTAACCGCCCGTCAGCTCCCAGGCGAGTCAGGGATCGCTCGTACTCGAGACGGGAATCGCGTCTGTTAATGAGTGGTGAACACAGAGCACAAGGAAGCAGTTCAGAACGGCGAAGAGCAAAGCAAGCTGCGGGCTGCCAGCGCTCTGCAGATGTTCATCTGCCGGCTGACGCCGCTCTAGGATCTACCAGAGAACATGCAGAGGTTAGAATGATAAAGGGGCAAAGCACAAGCCGGCCGGAGTGCCCAGGCAGCAGGCTCGAGAGCAATGACAGAACTCTCCCTCTCCTGCCACCACCACAGGCTGTTGCTCCCAGCATTAAACCACCACCAAAAAAAAGCACACGGGAAGCCTTTCTAGAGAGCTTTTACTTCAGGGTCATCCCCACCCCACCAGCAGAGGCAGACTGCTCAGCTTCAGGTTGACAGAAAATGCCTGGACAACCTCCAAGAAAAGAAAGTTGCAGACGTGCAGAGAACTCAAGGGATACCCCTGCAAAGGGCGCAGAGGATCACTTCTTCTGAGGACGGGGAAAAGATATTCACAGATGGTGCCACAGGAGTCACACATAGTCCACTCCCGACTGACTGTAGTTTTTCCTTTACTGGGCATCACCTACAGGTGTTGGTGTCTGTGCTGATCATTTTAACCACTGCATGCTTGACTAAGAGTGCACCTTGCAGTTACCTTTGAGCAGAAAGACAGAGCAATTCTCCTCAAAGACCAGAAGGAACTGCTAGCACGATGCAACGGCTCAACTGGCTCGAAAAACTAATGGTCTCCAATGGAGTCTTTCAGGATACGCAAGAAAAAAGCCCATCAAACATTCAGGCGACTATAGCCAGAAAGCACAGCCAGTAGAGACCACAAGGATTATTTTAGAGTGGTTTTGTACAACATTTAGCACACTATATGGCATCACTATACAGAGAAAAGCATCAGACTTATCAAAAGACGGAATATGACACATTTAGATTCAAGTAGAAGGAAGCTGGGTCAATCGCAATTGAAACTGCAGTTATGACAGAAGACCAACTGCATTGGGAGTCACAGGTTTGCCCCACGCAGAGCTGTAACCTCTTGCTTTCGGAGCGAATTAAATGACTTTCTTACTAGCACCAAGGAGTCACAACAGCTCAGGGAAAGCGAGTGGAGTTTCTAGGCTCACAAAGCAGTCAGAGCTCGCCACCACAGAAGCGTTATTTCTGGCCACAGAGCTTGAGCCAGAAATAAGAACGTTCAGATGACAGTACTACAAGCTAAAAACCTCTCCCCTGTGAAGGGAACAAATGGGAAAAAGTCATTTATACAAATCTAGAACCTGTAACGCTTTTTTATCCCCCTGCATTCTTTGTGGACTAGCATCAGACTATCAGCATGTCTTAAAGGTCAACCTGAAACTTTTTCTTTTTTTTTTAAACTCTCTAAAAATTTCGTGCTCTTCGTACTATAGCAGCTTCTGCAGAAGAGTGCTACGCTTCAAGACCGAGAAAGATGAAAATATGTCTAGGTAGGGAGATTTCCCGAAAAGGCAAAACGACCTGGATCACGCTCCTCAACTCTGCTCCCTCTTGTCCCCTCACTTCTCGTCCTACCCTACAGAAAATTCACGGCCTAATCACCTGGAATATCTTGGAAACGTCTTCCGAGTTGCGCTGCTGCGCGACATCGCACAGCTTGGCTGTGATATCGATTCGCCGACAGATGTCCATGTCCACCTTCATGGCCTTTTCTTGAATCTTTGTGTCCAGGTCTGTCATGGGCTGCAGGAAGGACAGTAGTGATTATCTTCTATTATTATACAGTTCAGGAAAGAAGAGATACCCCACAGTATCTCTCTAACCCCAGGGCATACCATTCTTAAATAATATTACATCTTCTCTGGGAAAGGCAATGGACAATCTAAATAGACCAGACAGCTAACATTTAACATTCGTACCCAATTCTAATAAAATTTCGGCTCAGAGTGATTTGCCACGGAAAAAGCTACACCCACCCCAAAGCAACGCCTAGATGTGGCAACAGTAAACTTTTATGGGTCAATAAAGCTTCTTTTGAAGGAGGAAAAAACCCCATGGAGCATGTACAGAATAGAATGAAATCTAAAACCTGGTGAGTATGCAACACTTCCCCGCTTTCAGGCAGAAAAACTGTGCCTGCAAGGAGAAGCTGCTTTTAAAACGAAGTCCAGGCTACTCAGGACCATGAAAACATAAAATCAAAGACCGGATCTGAAGAGATCCATGAAAGCTTTCAACACAGAAAAAAATCCTCATCAGCTTCCAGCTTAGCAAAAACACTACATGCAAAATATTTTGTCTTGCTTCACTCTGGGCAGTAATTATAAACGTAATTTATAAGAGATACTCCCCCTAGACAGTACAGCTGGTTCCTTATGAAGAAATGCTGTTTGACAAAAAGCGTATTTTCCAGCCTAGACAAGACTTACTGTTAGAAAACACCATTTCAATGGCTAGGCAATGCTTTTACTCTGACCAGGAAAGCAGAAAAGCTCTTTGCACAACATTCTTAAATACCAAATCCCCTTTCCAAGAAGAAAGCTTTGGGCAATGGTTTTTGCTGCTTTTTTTTTTTTTTTTCCTTTCTCCTCTTTTTTCCCCCCTTCTGTTTTTAAATTATTAGACAGACTTCTCCTGCCCATTGACCACTTCTGAACAAGTGATTTTTGTTTCCCAAACGCGCCGAGAAGGAATCTCCAAGCACTGACACACTCTAATCGCAATCTTATCAACTCAACAGGTACCAGGGATTCTTATCTGCAGGAAAGGAAGAGTCGCTGCCAACATTTTGCATTTCTCTGAATATTTACACAGTGCAATTCAAAACAAGCATCCTTAGGCTCTCTTTTCCTGCACGGAGTTTGCAAAGCCCAAAGCACACTTTCCCTCCAGCTGGGGAGGATGTTTGCATGCGCTGCCACCCTTTTTGTACACACTGAGCAACATCGTCTTCCTCGGCGAAAAAGTCATCACAGCGATGTTGCCTTTTCTCCCTTCGACACCGCCTCTCTACCCAAGCACGCCTGTTCTGCACTAAACACCAAAAAAAAAGAGCCAGCTAATTGTCAAATTTCACATGAACACATCTAGAGGCCCTGAGAGAATGTATTTGGCACCAGGGAGCGGGTTCTGCAGGTTTATATAAAAGAGAGGAGGAAGTAGTTCTGCACAAAATTACAGAATAAATAAGCATAATGGAACATTACGCTTATTAGTGCTGGCATCAGCACTACTTCAGTCTTACAGAAAAAGGCACCTTACTTAAGTTCACCTGGCTTATCTCTCTAGATATCTGCACAACTACGGGCTCTCAGTATGTCTAAATAAAAGAAAATTATCCGGTCGTAGCACAGAAGATGCCCCAGCTTTGAAGGAAGTCAATATCAACTGAGTCAGGCGGAAATTCCCGAGAAAACAAAGTATTCTTTTGTTTGGTTGTTTTTTTTTCTTTCCTCTCTCCTTTCTTTTTTAAATTTAGATCCAAGCAGCACTGGAAACAAAAGATACCTGAACCAGTGAGGCTGGGTTAACCTCTTCAGAGCTTTCCCAAAGGGAGAACACAGCGTGCTCCGTTTCAAACCCAACTTTGAGCGACTGAGAGCAAAGTCCCCTTGCCAGCAGTGATGCACCCTGTCCCCTAACCTGCGAGATCTCCAACGTTAATTTTCCACCCCTCAACGGCTGCAGATGTGGCTGCCGGCACTGCCAGCTGTGGAGAACGGGAAAGGGAGGGAAGAGTCCGGGTCATGGGCTAAGCAGCAGGTTAATGCATCTCTACACAGACCAGAGGGGAAGCAGGGGGCAGGGTGGACTGTCTGATGCATTAGATCGTAAGGGCAGCCGTAAGGCTCACTACAAAGCGGCACTCGCTACGACCAGAACCTTTTCATGAAGGAAGCCGTTGGCATGACGCGGGCACACTTCACAACAAGCGGTGGGGGTTGGCCGCTCTGCTCGCCGCCCCGTACTTACATCACTCATCAGACCCTTAAAGACCACAAGTTCCGCTTTCAGCCTCTCGATCTTTTCATTTAACTCCTCCTGGAGAGCTTCGGCTTCCTGCGCCTCCTGCGAGAGAAAGCACAGGGAGAGGTGAGAGGGAAGGGGCCAGCAGGTGCTTCCTCACTTCATCCTGGGAGGGCTGGTAAGGCATGTCACCTCTTCACAGAATCACAGCATGTTGGGGGTCAGAAGGCACCTCAAAAGATCACCCAGTGCCACCCCCTGCCAGAGCAGGGTCACCCAGGGCAGCCCCACAGGAACGCGTCCAGGCGCGTTGGAAAGTCTCCAGAGCAGGAGACTCCACACCCTCTCTGGGCAGCCTGGGCCAGGGCTCCGGCACCCGCACAGGGAAAAATTTTTTTTAATGTTTTCATGGAACCTCCTGTGCTCCAGCTTGTACCCATTGCCCCTTGTCCTGTCACTGGCCATCCCTGAGCAGAGCCTGGATCCATCCTCCCGACACTCATCCTTTCCCTATTTATAACCATGAATGAGGTCACCCCTCAGCCTCCCCTTCTCCAAGCTGAAGAGAACCAGCTCCTCCAGCCTTTGCTCTGTCAAAACTTCAGCATCTTCTTGCTTCTCCTTCCAAACACTATTTCTAGCATCCAGCAACGCAGCCAAGCCGCTCTAGCTAGAAGAGTTCTTTAATTAAACAAACTCAAATGATTACTAGCCTAAGAAGAGGTGCAGAGAACACCTCTACCTTTCAACACACAGTATTCAAAACCTACCTCTCGCAAGGTTTCTACCATAGATTCCAGACTCATTCTTCTTGTAAACTCCTCTTCCCATCTGAAAGACAAAGATTTGCAGGCAAAGCGTTAACCATGGAGAAAATAACTTTTTTTCCCCCCCTCTACCAAATCACAAGTCTTCTGATAGCTGTCGGATGATGACAGCTATTTGAAATGTAAAGCAGATGGTCGCCCTCACTCGTACACCCTCAAATCAGTAACGCCAAGTCTGTAAGAGAATACAGGCGAAACCCACTTTCCTTGGGATCAGTCCTCTCCCAGCTCGCCCGTGCAACATTTGGTAGCAAATATGGTGGGAAATTTTCAGTGCAAAAAGAATCAGTTGAAAGTTAAGTTATCCAAACCAGCAGTCTTACTATTTATGTGTTCAGTCCAATCAATTAATATGTTTATGTGCCTTTTACATTGAAATCCTTAATAATCTGCATGCCTCGTGCATTTCCCAGCACCGCAGCTCTGAATGGGGGGCAGAAACACTCGCTGCTCCAGT